CACTGTAATTCATTTCATCGCTATAGATGATATATGAAGTAGCCTTGGGAATTCATATTTTCAATATACTTGTTTGAAGGCAATTTAATTTTATGTTCTTTTATACTTCATAGTACTAATAAAGAAATAAAATATATTTAATAATATAAAATACATGTATAGAGCATTTTAATGTATTTTAACGCCTAAAATCACATGAGATTAAGACTGAAATAAATGATGACGTAAGTCAATTCTATATACTAGTATATTTCAAAAAGTGAATACGTCAAGTGAATTTTAATTACAGGTATAGGGTGTAGAGAATTAAAATGTTTAGGCACGGTCCTAAAATATCCAGTAAAGCTGGACATTGGACATGTCTTCGAGCACATTGGTGTTCTGGGAAAAACTAGTGGCAAATTATACACTTGCAATTATCAGCACATTCTCAATTTTGACGTCAAGGGTGTTTTTCAACTATTCATCGCAGGGGCTGATTTGATGAATAAACGACCTGGGTAATGAAACATATTATATTGATTTTGAATAAATTATTGAAAACGAAATGATGAAGTTAGTCTCATGTTATTTCTTGCACCTTTTTCAAGACAAATCCAGTTTTATATGAATTTTTTGTGGTTTGCAAACGTCATCATATTTTAACAGCGATGGATTGTTTAAAAAATTATAATATTTATCTCAATATATTTTATGTATTGCAATGAACTTAATGAGTCCATAGATAAACATATATTCACTTTTTACCTTTTAAATTAAAGAATCAAACAATATTCCAACTACTCGTATTATTTCAATTTTGACTGCAAGAAATTTCGTTTGAACACTCTACATTTGTAGATCGCATATTTTTACTTTGGATTTCAAATAATATGCTCTTGAGAATGCCTTACTGTTTTAGTTGATCTATTTTTTATGATGATTTCGAACAATTGATACTTTTATTCATTTTCTGTATTTATAATGATATCATTCCTTTGTTTTAGTTCTTTTCCCCTAGAATGTCTATGAAGTCTCGCAAGTTATGGATTATTTGAATCCATTAAATTTTTGATGCGTTGTGGCTGGAACATAGACAGAGAGAAAGGTTGGATCAGAGGATTTGAAAATGAAGAAAATTTTAAATGTTCTTTTACCGTTGACAATTGCAACTACACAGCAGGAGTAAGTGTTGAAGACAGGGCTGCTCTTACAGCTGTTTTAAACGAATTAGAACATGAACCAACAACTCTACAAATCCTTTGCAGATGTCGAATTCGAAAGCAGCTTTCATCTCATGGTCAGAGTATTTTGCCATTAATTGATGATTTACCAATTCCGACAAAACTGAAATCTTTTCTTAAATTTGAAGATCATGAAGGTCCCAAGGAGGAGGAAGTGATAGTTAATGTTCACAGAAACTACAGGTAAGTGGGACAACCGTCGTCCGACCGAGCGCTAAGCACTAGTTGTTTTTTTTTTACCATCATCCGACCTTTACGAAAACCCAATATCTAAATGACGATCGACTGTCGACCGACTTAACAAATTGGTTTCAGATTGTGGGAAGATAATCTTGTTTTAGTCGACGGATTATTCACGACTGTTTAAATTGAGGGAATAAATCATCGACGCAGAAAAGTTATAACTGGGCTAGGTCTTCATAAATGTAACCTTAGGGTTTCGTAGTAAGACAATTCAATATGAAAAGATGTCATGCATAATCATAAAACATTTACTATTCATTTTCAGCAGCAACCGTTATGATGATGATGATGATTATGATGACTACGACGATTATTACGATAATGATGACAATTATTACGATAATGACCACCAGGAGATGATTTTTGATGCCGAATCAGATGAATGGATACCAATATGGTGGTATGTCACTGACCTAAAATCAATAATTCAATTTAATTTCATAAATAATTATACAAGCACTTTTCATAGAAAGTTGTTCGTGCATGTTGTTATCCTGACCCGTCTGTCTATCTGTACGTCTATCTGTTATATCTGTGACATGTTTTTTTTAACCCAAACTAATTTAAGAATTATAGCCGACTAGTCTTTTGGGAGATGTCTGGGGAACTGTATATGGGTCCTGAAAAAAGTATGACGTGTTCAGGGAACCCGGATATCATCTTCCCAAGTCACAGGTTTGTGATCCGCTCTGCTCCACATAAACACTTGGCGGTAAAGGGTCAATATAGTTAACGATTAATTGATTGTATACTGTTTAACGTCCCTCTCCAGAATATTACACTGATATGGAGACGTCACCATTGACGGTGAAGGGCTGCAAATTTAGGCCTATGCTCGGCACTTACGGCCTTTGAGCAGGCAGGGATCTCTATCGTGCCACACCTGCTGTGACACGGGACCTCGGTTTATACGGTCTCATCCGAAGGACCGCCTCATTTAGTCGCCTTTTACGACAAGCAAGGGGGTACTGAGGACCTATTCTAATCCGGATCCCCACGGGATTATAATTAACGATAGTTTACTTTTGTTATCTACAGTTTACTACATGTAACATATTTTTACTGGGGCTTGGACGTCAAAAATACATATATGTTCAGTTAGGTCGAAAATTAAAACCCCCACAAGACTTTCACTATTTTACATGCTCATGAACTAAACTCAAAGTGATACATTCTGGGAAAACTTTTACATCCAATCATTCTAGAACCTGTAGTGGAAGTTTTGCGTGTACTTGTAAGTTTGTGTCAGGAATGGCCCTAACAAAAAAAACTATAGTTAACTATAGTTATAACTAAAACTTTCACACTTTGATAAACTTTGGCGAAAACTTTGAAAATTTTGATTTACTATAATGATAACTAAAACTTTGATAAACAAGCGAAAACTTTGACACTTTGATAAACTTTGGGCTAAACTTTGAAACTATAATTAAAACTTTAAAAACTTTGATTAACTATAGTGATTACTTTAAAAACTTTGTCGAAAAGTTTGATACTTCGATTTACTAAAGTTAACTGTAGTAAACTAAAGTATTAGTAAACTATTAGTTAACTTTTTTTTTTTGTTGTTAGGGAGGGGACGTCTCAGTGCAAGGATATATATAGTTAAACTATTTGTATATGCACAATAAAATATTTATTCTTTAAAGTTAAATATGATTTTGATATGTACATGTTTCAGGTAGAAGAACACAGGCATTATTGTTATATGAGCGGATTCAAAGAATGAAAAGAAATACATCTGTTGGGAAAAGTAACATTTTTCGCTGACGGTAACAAAACTTAAACGTTTTGATTCTTTTTTTTAGTTTGGTAGCTGTTTTTACAATTATCACAGAAGTATTGGGTGGGGGTGGGGTGGGGTGGGGGGATCATGTACATTATATATATAATTGACCCTATTTGTTATACATGTATTTTTTTATCAGTTCACATTAACTAAAAGCTCAAATGAGTTCAAATTTATATTAATACGAACTTTTTTCATTTTCCTCTTTAAGTAATAAAATCCAAACAACTTTGGCATTTTATTTATTGTAAAAATGTCACTTACATGTATTGTTCAAAGAAAAATGAAGGGCCATGGTTCATTCTATGAGGAGATGTCACAGCAAATGCAAAATTAATATCAAGTCACATATTAATTTGCCCTCATTTAAAATCTTTCACAGAATGAAATACATTTTTTTTGAAGTCGTACTTCATGTATTTGTTTTTATCGTTTTCGATTTTATCGAGATGTTTAATATTAGATAATAAAAAAAATATATTTGGTGTAAAAACATGTAGTTATGTATTGAAATAATTTGTGATGTGTCTGTGCTTGATTATAAAGTTGAGTAAAAAGTATCAGTGTTTGTAGATTTAGAAATAAATTCATGGTAAAGCATTGGTGGTGTATGAAATTTTTATATATTTATATATTGACGCCTTCGGCGTTTATGCAGATTATCACGCAAGCCAATGGATTGATCAGATCATGAAATCGAAAAATTAGACACTTATTTCTTAAATAAAAGCTTATTAAACGTTGCATTCACATGTGATGTGAGAAACTTCTTTTCAACTATGAGAATATAATGTTTTTCTAATGTACATTCATGTGATATACATGTATATTTTTTTCACCAATGGCTAGAATTCATATTTTCTTTCTCATTGAACGATGATTATGAATTCGTATATACTCTATATTTCAATTATTCAAGAAAAACTATGTCATATTATATTAACATGGGTTTTCAAAAAAACATTTGCACTTGTATTTTCCTTAATAGATAAAATAACTTTTATCTTATTTTCGGTTTAGTATTTGGCAAAGCTTAAAATCTTGATTGGCTAGATAGCCTCGTCTTACGTTTAACTAAAAAATCTTATGCTAAGGTAAGATGTCCAACCATCTGTCTATATGATGAACATGTATGTACATGTAATTTTTCGGGTCATTTTGGGTGATTTCATTGTAACGGGAACGAACAAAAGAAATCATAACAACTGTGCATATATTCATGCACGATGAAAGTGCAAGATGCGTAAATCAAACCCGTCCAGAAAGTCGAAGTTTCAATAACTTCGAGATGAAAAAAAGATATTAATATTTTTTTCGTGTGAAATGCAATTGATATATATAAGTCGTGATATTGTATAGAATTTGAGAAAATATTAACTTCAAATCTGTGTCTATGCAATTTTAAAGACAAGGCTTTGAGTCCGACCAGGTTTTAGAACATGCGACGACGAGGAACTAGTTTTCCAAAAACTGCACGTGCTCTTTGAAAAACTGGACCTCGAGGTAAGATATACTGTTGATCTTTTTTATATTTAAGAGAAAAAAAATGAACTGTATTTGATTTCGAAGGAACAAAAATCGGGGATCAACTTTAATTTATACATTAATTGTTAATTAACATCGTTTTGTTTGATTTAATGTGTGTATTATACGTAGTAAATATTTCCCTTTATCATAATCCTGCTCTTTGTGAACACCTTTATATCAATTACCTGTACAAGTTACAAGATGGAGATTTGAACGACCACAGAAAAAATTAAAACATCAGGTTTGAATTCTTGTATGCATGATCCTGGGCTTCCTTTTTTTAATTTATCCAAAAAAAGTGCGGCTTTCATTAAATCATGTAACCGTCCTACCGACACTGTTGTACAGGGACAAAGCGGTTGTTTAAACTCTTTTTTTGCAATATCTTTTAGCCTAACGATGCAAACATTTAAACATCGATTTTTCGGATAAGATATGCCAAACATTACATACACCGGCGTGACGAGTGTTGTAGATCCTACGCCCCATTTATATATATAGAGTGACTTCCCCTGGAATTCTGGGAATGTATCACGATTATTAAATCCATTCTTTCTCATCTCCCTAGCCATATACTCCACTCCCCGAAAGTCTGATAACAAAGTAAGTCGTTTAAGGGGGGGGGGGGTCTCAAGAGCCTTTACTTCCTGCATCAATGAGGATTCTCTATGTAGAGTGTTACTACGATTCCTTTGTGGGAAGGCTCCCTCTAGATAGACTTTATCTCTGTTTGGTGAATTCTACATTTGACATACTTGATCACTTGTAACAATCAAAACATCAGCGGTCACCGTGTATATCCCAACATGCGGGGTGTATACTATGTTGTGCGCGGGGTGTATGCTTCCGAAGCGAGAGAAAAGGGGTCAATGTACGTTCTTTGTTCATTTTCTCAACTTACGGATATTTTTCGCCAGAAATCATATGCCTACGGAATGAAGCATTGTCTAAGAAGTATATGGATACCTGTGAATCCACTGGACACCTTCTAGTTTTATCAAACACCTCAACACAATTCCGAGGATCGGAGCAAGATTGACGCTACACTGTGTTTATGATCAAATATCAGGACAAAGTTTTCCTTTATAATCACTTTTATATTATTGTTAAATACATGTTTACAATATAAACGTTTGTACAAATTGTCTGTAAATAAAACAGTTCGTATATAAAGATATTAACGAAAAATCAATGTTGTGTCCGGGGTGTATGCAACATGTTGTACGCGGGGTGTATACCCCTCTTTTTACTCTATAGTATCATTGTCTGAAATGTCATTAAAAAATTGTTAACAACTGACTTTTGTAAAATTTCTATTAATTTATTTTTTAAATTATTCACCAGTTTTGTAATAGCACAACTTTAGGTTCATGAATTCGATTTACTGGAAATAAAATTGATACACGTTCGTCGTATTTTTGGCTTTGCATGCACATGGAAGTAAATGTACAGGGTACTTTGTTTAACTGTTTAATGTGATGACCAACAATTCATCCCTTCTTTCGATTTAAAGGCACCTTATTCAGACCCTTTCTTAATAAATGCTTCACACATGCATCATTTTGAACATTTAACATTTCCTCATAATTTCTGTTTAATTTTTTTTAATACTTTTTAAATGAGTTTGAAAATATTTAGCTTTTTGTAATGTCATAAACACCAGAAAAATGTTCTCATTCATGTAGTATTTATATGTTGTGTACTTTGCCCACAGGAGCCCATATCTGGCAGTTAACTATTTGTTTTGTATTTAGGCATTGTATTTTACTGAGTACATACTTTCTAGGAATGGGCCCGAGGAGGGTGTGTTTATGTCTTAGGTCATTTTTTTTGGGGGGGGGGGGTAACCTTACTACGTGTATATACGATAATAAATTAGAGGAGGGTGAACATAATTGATATTACTTAAACATCAACATAAAATTGTAATTGTACCAAAAACTTTTTTTTTCAATTGAGCATGCCCTCGGAAAATTGTCGTCTCTTATTACAAATATACATGTGCATTTTTATAGCCGGCTTTACAAGTTTATTGTGATTTGTAAAATATGAAATCTTTTCAGATAAGGAAAAATGAGTCCAATGGTCACATATTGCGAAAATTGAAAGGAAAATTAAAATACATGTATCATACAGACACGTAGTATCACCCCCCTTTTTGTTCCACTCACAACTTTTCACTACAGAAAATGTTCATCGAAAGTCAGGTTGCACCCCCCCCTTTTTTTTGTTGCAACATAGTCAAAAAATGGTTATGTAGTATGTTTAAGAAAAAAAAAGGAGAACTGGTACTGAAAAAGGATGGGACCTACAACCCCATCTGAAATAGGAGTTTGAGTTTCGATAAGCCCCCCCCCCCCTTTTTTTTATAGCAAGTCAACTTATGTCGAGGATTTTTTTTTCAGGTACCCCCCTTTCAAAAAAAGTTCTACGTCACTGTCATAAATGCTTAAGAATACATGTATTGAAAACATAAATGTTGCAGAAACCAAAAAAAAAAAAAAAAAAAAAAAAAAAAAAAGATTTATTCATAATACACCATTCATATAGAGTTTCTATTATTTTTAACAGGTGAAATATTTAGATTAAAACGAGCCAAAGAAAGGGCAAATTGTCCTCGATGCACGAATTGGGGGGGGGGGGGACGAGGGACCCTTTGGAGAGATTTTATGATTACGCAGATTTAGATCATTGCACCATCTACAATGTACCATTTAGTCAGATAACAATCGCTCCTTGCACATCTAGCGCCTTTTATGTTTGAATATGATAGTTTGTTTTTTATTCTTTTTTAAATTTAGTTGATTTGTTTTTTATTTCATTTATGGAAATTACTCTTTGGTTCGGCATTAGTATTAAGGTCTTTTATCAACACTATCTGTCGCTTTTAAACCTGTGTGAATATAATATCTCTATTGATTCTTTGCACTACACAATCATAAGAAAAATATGGGGTATACACCCCGCGTACAACATGTTTCATACACCCCGGACACAACATTGATTTTTCATTAATATCTTTATATACGAACTGTTTTATTTACAGACAATTTGTACAAACGTTTATATTGTAAACATGTATTTAACATAGAGAATAATACATACCCTTTTCCATATCACATCCTGTATCAGCCCGAGACACCAATATCAGCCAGAGGGCCGAAGGCCCGAGGGCTGATATTGGTCGAGGGCTGATACAGGATGTGATGTGGAAAAGGGTATGTTTTATTATATTTATTACATACTTAGTAATAAAATACAGAACACATTCAGTTGAGAGGAAAATAAGTAAATAATCATGCATGTACTTCTTACATACATGTACATAGTCTAATGTTTCATACGATTTGGGTTTGTTTCTACTTCTATTTCAATGCACTTGATCCGTAATAATTTGAAAAAAAAATCTATAGTATTACATGTATTTGTAAATTAAGATTAACCTTATTTTCAAAGAGTTAAAATCAATAGAATATGAACCCACCAAAAATTGTGTATGATCACAAGTACTGTTATTGTGGTTTAATTTACTAAGGGTGTGATATTGACGTCACAATAGTCGTATCAGCCCTGCAGGGCTGATATCGCATATGCAAAAAACCTGTATTTATTACTAAGTGTGTAATAAAAATAATATAAAAGTGATGATAAAGGAAAACTTTGTCCTGATATTTGATCATAAACACAGTGTAGCGTCAATCTTGCTCCGATCCTCGGAATTGTGTTGAGGTGTTTGATAAAACTAGAAGGTGTCCAGTGGATTCAAAGGCATCCATATACTCCTTAGACAATGCTTCTTTCCGTAGGCATATGTTTTCTGGCGAAAAATATCCGTAAGTTGAGAAAATGGACAAAGAACGTACATTGACCCTTTTTCTCTCGCTTCGGAAGCATACACCCCGCGCACAACATAGTATACACCCCGCATGTTGGGATATACACGGTGAGCGGTGGGATCAAGTGCTATGGTGGAGTGGGCATCCCCTGCTGACCGGTCACATCCGCCGTGTGCTCCTTCACCCCTTCTAATGTTATTGTGATTTAAATTCAAGACACGTGGTTTAGGTTTACCTATTCAAAGGTTATAGGGTAGATCCGGGTTTATAAATAAAATTGGCAGTAAACAGGAAATTGCTATAGTCTGTTTCTTCTGAAACATGTCCTGTGAAAAATGTGTTTGCACACCTTTCTGAAAGACTTTCATGATTTTCAACAGAAATGGATGGCGTAAGGAGGGGTGGTAAATAATAATTAATACATCTTATAGTTAACTGCAAAAACTTATAGCTCACTAGCAACCGATACGCTGGTAAAAAAAAAGTGTAATATCATCTTCACTGACAAACCTTTGTCTGCCCTACATGGCTATTGCTATTAATGCGCACAGAGGATCTTACCACGAGCAACTGACCAATTGTTGATTGAATACGTTTACGCCAAAAACATGTTTACATGTGGTTTAGGTCAATCTATGATCATGTAAATGGAGTGCAAAAAAAATGTTCTTATGAACAAAATGCATACATTAGAAACTATGAAAAATATCACGGGCGTTTTTAATTTGTTGTTAACTAGAGAAAAAAATGTTTAATAAAATGTATATGTAGTTCGTGTCAAGTTCAGAACACCAGAACTTCAAGGGTAAAGAAAACGAGCAGCTTCTCGTATGCATTTAAATGGACAAAACATTTTTTACATAACTATACTCGTGATCACGTGTGTTGGCCAGGGAATCCACCTGGCAACTGTATTCACCGATAGTACAATAAAGGAATTTATCAAGCGTAAAATTCCTGTAGTATTCGTATAGTAACCCATAATGTAATTCTCATTCATCTGATTTGTCAGTTAAAGTCACATTGCATGGTGCCTCAGATCATTTGCTAATCTGGCGCCAAAAAATATAGTCCCGGTTCCCATGCAAAATATTTGTCCAAAAAGACATTTTAATTCATGACAGCAGAAAATTGTATCATAGAGAATACTTAAAAATTATTCAACTTGAATGAATTCAAGAAAGATCGACTGAAGTACATTTCTACAGAATGATATTATACGGTGGTGAAAACTAAAACGCAACATAACTTTTCTGTTTACCATGTCTCCATGTGATAGTCACTTCTTAGCCACATTTCCGTGAATAATTTACCCTATCTCGCTGAAGTCTCGCTAGCTCTCGCCAGAGCCACTGTCAGAGCTACTCTGAACTCATCGGGTTTTATAATGTGCGGAACACCGAAA